AACTGTCTCTATTTGTAGATATCATGATATATTGTATATATATAAAACATATGTATATATTATATACATGAGTATTTTATACATACTTATATAAAATATTTAGTTTTACATATACATATAAAAACTTCACCCAAAAAGTGTTAGAACTAATCAAAGCACTCAGTAACGTTGCAGAATTACAAAATCACTATACAAAAATTAGTTGTGTTTCTGTATACTAGCTATAAGTTACCAAAAATAATTTTAAGAAAGCAATCCCATTTACAGTCACATTTCAATGAATAAAGTACCTAAGAATTAATTTAACCAAGGAGGTGAAAGACCTATATACTGAAAACTGTAAAACATTTATGAAAGAGATGGAAGAAGGTACAAATAAATGTAAAGACTTTTGGTGTTCATGGATAAGAATGAATAGTTAAAATGTCAATACTGCCCAAAGCAATATACAGTATTTTTTTTCTATTGTATTTTTAAAAATATTTTATTTATTTATTTTCAGAGAGAGGGGAAGGAAAGGAGAAAGAGAGAGAGAGAATTTTGTTCCCCACTGGAGTGGGTATGTTTAGCAATATACAGACTCAATGCAATCCGTATCAAAATTCCAATGGTACTTTTCACAGAAGTAGAACAAACAATCCTACAGTTTGGGAACTACAAAAGACCCCAAAGAGCTGAAGTAATCTTGAAAAAGAAGAACACAGCTGAAGGTATCAGAATTCTTGATCTCAAACTATATTACAAAGCTATAGCAATCAAAGCAGTATGGTATTGGCATAAAGCCATACAGAACTGAATCAAGAGACCAGAGATAAAACCACACATATAAAAATCAACCAATTTACAATAAAAGGAATCAGGAATATATCATTGGAAAAGGACAATCTTTTCAGTAAATGGTGCTGGGAAAACAAGACAGCACATGCAAAGGCCTGAAATTGGATCACTGTCTTAAATCATACATAAAAATCAACTCAAAGGTTAAGGACTTCACTATAAGACCTGAATGAAACCATAAAATAAGAAGAAAACAAAAGTGGTAAGCTTCTTGACATTGGCCTTGGTGATAACTTTTTAAAGGCAGCAAAAAAGAAACAAAACTAAAAAGATGTTGAACAGCAAAGCAAACCAACAATAAAGTGAAAAGGCAACCTACCAAATGGAAGAAAATAGAGTATTTGCAGATTATATATGAGGTCTCTCTGGAAGAAGTCCAGCCATTGTTAATATAACAAGAATGGTTTGTGCAACATCAGTGTAATCTGGCAGTCAAGGAGAGTGGACTGGAATGCACATGCATGAACAATGACAGCTTCACTGTACTAGTCAGTGGGGGCAGTAGATGGTGTTGAGTGAGCATGCGTGCTGTGTGGCTGTCACATTCAAAATGACTGAACAAGTAGAGCAACAAATCTGCATCAGATTTTGTGTTAAGCTTGAACATTCCTTCATGGAAAATATTTGGATGATTCAGAAGGCTGCAGCTACGGGCAACTGGTGATTGGCAGTGCCATCATGACAGTGTGGTTGCTATATACATTATAGATTTGGTGCTCTGTGACTTTTGGCTTTTCCCAAAACTAAAATCACCTTTGAAAGGGAAGAGATTTCAGACTGTTGCCGAGATTCAGGAAAATATGACAAGGCAGCTGATGGCAACTGTGTGAGGTCCTAAGGTGCCTACTTTGAAGGGGACTGAGGGGCCATTGTCCTGTGTACAATGCTTTTTGTAGCTTGCATATTCTTCAGTTATGTGTCTGGATACCTTCTGGACAGACCTCGTATATCTGATGAGGGTTAATATCCAAAATACTAGGTTGGCCAAAAAGTTTATTTTTGTGTTATGGCTCTACTACTGCATAGTTGTCTTTACCTTCATTCAAAACAATTTTGTTAGATTGTATTGTGACAGCTGTCAAATCAGTGTGCATTTCAAAAAAACTTTGAATATAGTGCAGCCACTTTAATATTTAAGATGGAAGAAAATATGCAACATGCTTTATTTCAAAAAAAGGCAAAACAACTGAAACACAAAATGATCTGTGCAGTATATGGAGAAGGTGCTATAACTGATCAGACATATCAAAAGTGGTTTATGAAGTTCCTTGGCACTATTGACATTTGACCAAATAGTTATTTGCTGTGCACTGTCTTATGCATTGGAAGACATTTAGCAGCACCCTGGGCCTCCGCCCACTAGAAGCCAATAGTGGGAGATAGCCCATGTACTCAAAATATCCAAATCAATAAAGTTATTAGTGAAACTGAAAAATGTGCCTTATTTTATGAAAAAAAGATAACAGACTTTTTGGTCAATCCAATATATAAATAACTCATACCACTCAATAGCAAAACAAAAACAAACCCAAACAATCTGATTTAAAAAATGGACAGAGGATCTGAATAGACACTTTTCCAAAGAAGACAGAGAGAGATGGTCAACAGGTGCATGCAAAGGTGCTCAACATCAGTAATCAGGAAATGGAAATCTAGACCACAGTGAGGTATCACCTCACACCTGCCAGAAATGGCTATTGTCAAACGGAACAGTTGGTGAGGTTGTGCAGAAAAGAGAACCCTTGTACACTGTTGGAGAGAATGTAAATTGGTACAAGCACTATGGAAAATAGTATGGGGGTTTTCTTGAAAAATTTAAAATAGAATTACCATTTGATTAAGCAACTCTACTTCTGGGCATTTATCTGAAGGAAGCAAAACCACTAACTTGAAAAGGTATCTGTACCCTCATTGTTCATTGTAGCATTTACAATAGCCAAGGCATGTAAACAGCCTAAGTGTCCATCAGTGGATGAATGAATAAAGAAAAGGGATGTGTGTGTGTATATCAATGGAACATTATTCCCCCATTAAAAAAAGGGAAATCCTGACAACTTGTTACCATGGGTGGAACTTGAAGGCGCTGTGCACAGTGAAGTCCCAGGCAAATACTGCACAATCTCACTTATGTGTGGAATTTAAAACAAAACGCCAGACTCATCACAGATTGGTGGCTGCCGGGGGGGGGGGGTGGGTGAAGGAGTAGCTGAACACAGTCAAAAGGTGCAAAGTTCCAGTTACAAAACCAGCCCTGGGAGTGTAATATACAGCATGGTGACTGTAGTTAAAAATACTATATTATATATTAGAAAGTTGCTAAGACAGTCGATCTTAAAGTTGCCATTACAAGGAAAAAGGAGAAATTTGTTAACTGTGTGTGGTGATGGATGGTTACTAGACATATAATTATTTTGCAATATATATTAAATCATTATGTTGAACACCTGACACTAATGTTTTGTCAATCATATCTCAATTTAAAAAATAGATCTTTCTAAATTAAAAGAGCAATCTAATAGAAAAATGGGCCGAAAACAGAAGTCAGTTCACATAAACAGGAAAAGCAAATGGTCCTTAAACATATGAAAAATGTTCTATTTCCCTCATAATAAATAAAACATACCTGATACAACACACCATTGTTCACGAGAGACTGGTACAAACCCAATTTGACACCATGTTCTTTTGCTGAGGCTCTGGGTACAAGGAACTCTCGTCAACATTGTTGGTAGGAATGACAGAAAAGGTCATTTCTATGGACACGTGGGCGTATGTGAGAGAATTATACACACTCACTCTCTGATGCAGCAGCTCTACTTCTGGGTTTGGCCCCAAAGCGGTTAGACTGTTCACTGCAGCTCCATCTGTGAAGGGCGGAGATTGGAAACAACCCAGACGTCCGCCAGTGCATCCACTCAGTGGAGTGCTGTGGGGGGAAACAGAGCAAGGTGCAGCTAAGTGAAAAAACCAGCCACGAACAAAATAGGACACCGCATGTGCGCTTTTATGTAAGAACTTGTGTGTACTGTGTTGTACACGTTTGCTTGTATTTTCAAAAACACAAAGGGATAAACTAAAGTTAATATGCATGGCCACCCATAAGGAAGTGGAGGGAACGTGGGTTAGACAGAAAATAGACTCCTCTGAATGTACCTCGTTTTCTAGTTTTTACCTAGAAACCACTTAAATGTACAGAGTTAAAATAAATCTTGAAAACCAAACCAATCCATAAAAATTGGGAGGATAAAAAGGGAAGCAAATGAACCAAACTGTATGTTAGGTTGGTAAAGTTATCAAATGGGAATTTTTTCAAGTGATTTTCAAACACCAGTTGCAATCAGAAAACTCTTGGGCATCTCCTGTCAGTAACGTATCGGTCTTGTCAGTCTGCACCAGTTGGATGCACTGTGGATCCAAGCAAAGGGGTCCATGTGTACGTGGGCTAAACTGAACTAACGCTTTCAGTTTAAAAGAAAGACCTACCAGTATAAAAAGCTACAGTGAATCAAAAACTCCAGTCTTTCTATGTTCAGAGGCAAAGAATTTTGCAAGAACACGGCATTAAAAGTTTTAGCCGGTGGATCTTGTTCATTTTTATATCATAGATATATTTTTATATTTAAAAATATCTTTTAAATTTTATTTTAATCATTGTTCAAGTACAGTTTTCTGCCTTTCACCAACCCCCAGGCCTCCCCACCTTGTTTTTGTCCATGTGTCCTTTCTACTTGTTCTGGCAAACCCTCCCCATTTACATCACCGATAGCTTTGCTGTCAAATCCTTAGTGGGCCGAGTTCTCTTCGTGTCTGTTCTCATGTATCTTCAGCACCGCTCCATCCAGCTCTTTTCCTTTCTTCCTTTCTGCTGCATCCGAATTTTTTGACAGGATCCTTTTTCAGTTGTAGCGTTCAAAAAGAATCAGTAAAATACTGACACAGTTTAGGGTAATGTGTGCAGTATTAATGCATTAGGATACTATGCATTATTAGGGTACTAATTATTAGGGTACTGTGGCAGAAATATTTGGGCAGTAGTGGTACTGCCCAAATACCACTTAAATCATAATAAGGATCATAGCAATGGAGTTTTCATATCCATCTCATTTTAGTAATCCTAACTTCCTCTTTCTACATTGCAAATAATTTGTGTCTGTTTTTTTTAGATGGTTATTCTTATGAAAAGGAAGCAATGGAAAATTGGATAAGCAAAAAGAAACGCACAAGTCCCATGACGAATCTTGTTCTTCCCTCAGCGGTACTTACGCCAAACAGGACTCTGAAAATGGCCATCGATCGATGGCTAGAGACACATAAAAAATAAAACCGTTTATTTTTATATTATGTACATTGTATCAGTGATCTCATTTGAATGATTTAAGAGTATATACTAATAAGATATTATGAAAGGCAAAACAGAAGGACAAAGGTAATCTTAAATTTAGTTATCTATAAAAACTCTTCAGTATCTATTTTCATTCTTTAAAACATGGACTGAACACATCTAACCTCTTTTCTATTTTTAGTATAAAATCTTGTATTAATAAAAAAATCTTAACTTTTAGAGAAATAAAGCTTTAATTTGCAGTACCCACTTTTCTTCTTAGGTATAGGTCATACCACATTACAAGCAAACATCAGAATAATCTATAACAGATATTGAAACCCTAGTTAATAGCCATTTATTTGATAATTCTTTGGAATCCCTCTAAGGAGAATTTGTAGCAAAGTAATTGTAGATTTATGAATAAAATAATTTTCATATGTTTAATGAGTTTTGTTGGATTATAAATCTTCAAGGTGGTAATGATTATTTTTCTCCATTGTCTAAAACCATTGTATAAGCTGGAATTATGTTGAATATAGTGTTAAATTTGCAAAAATATATAAAGTGGCAGATTAGCCTTTTTTAGCATATAGAATTATTGAAGTTTCTACATAATAGTCTAAACTAGACTAAGCTAGGGGGACTATACAATTTTAAGTATATTTTATTATGCTATTACAGTTGTCCCAATTTTTCCCCTTTGCCCCCCCCCTACCTGGTAGCCCCTTCCCTCCAGCAAACCCCCCTTAGTTCATTTCCATGGGTCGTGTGTATAAGTTCTTTGGCTTCTCCATTTCCTATACTGTTCTTAACCTCCCCCTGTCTATTTTGTACCTACCATTTATGCTTCTTAATCCCTGTACCTTTTCCTCCATTCTCCTCCCTCCCCCTCCCATATTTAGTTATCATATGACAACCCTCCATATGATCTCCATACCTATGATTCTGTTCCTGTGCTAGTTGTTTGCTTATTTCTTCTTGGGGGGGGGGGGCGGGTAGCTTTAGTTAATAGTTGTGAATCTGTTGCCTTTTTAACGTTCATAGTTTTGGTTTTTTTCTTAAATAACTCCCTTTAACATTTCATGTGGTGATGAACTCCTTTAACTTGACCTTGTCTGAAAGCACTTTATCTGTCCTTCCATTCTAAATGATAGTTTTGCTGGATAAAGTAATCTAGGTTGTAGGTCCTTGCTTTTCATCACTTCAAATACTTTTTTCCAGCCCCTTCTTGCCTGTAAGATTTGAGAAATCAGCTGACAGTCTGATGGGAAGTCCTTTGTAGGTAACTCTCTGCTTTTCTCTGGCTGCTTTCAAGATCCTCTGTTTATCTTTAACTTTTGTCATTTTAATTATGATGTGTCTTGGGGTGGTCTTTGGGTCCAACTTGTGTGGGATTCTAGTGTTTCTTGGACTTGTCTTTCTTCCACCAAATTAGAGACATTTTCTTTCAGTATTTTTTCACGTTAGTTTTCAGTTTCTTGCTCTTCCTCTTCTCCTTCTGGCATCCCTATAATTCAGATGTTGGCACTTTTGAAGATGTCTCAGAGTCATCTTATACAATCCTCATTTTTTAAAAATTGTTTCTTCTTATTGTGGTTCTTTGTGTTGCAAATCATCGATTTGAGTCCCTTTCACTGTTGGTTCCCTGTAGACTTTTATTTCACTTAGTATAACCTTCATTTCTGTGTGTTCATGCCATGCTCAATGAGTTCTGAGCATCTGATCACCAGTGTTTTTGAACTCTGCATCTGATATAGCTCCATTTTGTTTCATCCTTTTACTGCAGTTTTGTTCTTTCACTGAGGCCCTATTTCTTTGTCTCAATTTGGCAGCCACTGTATGTTTGTTTCTGTGTATTAAGATAGAGCTGCTTTGACTCCCTGTAAAAGGCACCAGTTAATTCTGTGGGGCAGAACCTTAGGTAACCACCAGGGCAGGGCAACCCACTTCACTGCCTTGTGGCTTGTGTGGGGGGAAGCCAGAGGACCGTGCTCCTGCCTGGCTTCTGCAGGTTTGCCTGGCACATTTCTAGCCACTCTCCCTATGCACCTGATTCCCTTCCAGCTGTCACCCTGGTGCTGAATCCCAGAGTGGGCAAGATCGCGGATGTTCTATACCTACGCAGGCCCTTTTCAGCAGAGTTTACTAAAAATCTGGCAGATTATTCTGCCACCTCCAACCCCCACTGGATTTTGTAGTCAGAAGTTAGGGGGATTTAGCTTCCAGCCACTTGAACCCTGGGCTGTGTGGTCTGGCCTGGGGCTGGGATCCCTTTGCTCCGAAGGTACTCCTCCCAATTTTTATCCACCGCACATGAATATGGGGCCACACGTGCCCGTTCAACCACCAGTACCTCTCTGCACCCACCCCACTGTGTCTCCTCCCCTCTGTATCTCAGCCCCTCCTACCTGTCTAGATGAATGTGGCTCCTTTAAATCCTTGGTGGTCAGACTTCCATAGTTTGATTTTCTCACAGTTCTGGGTGTTGAGATTTAGTTGTAATTCTCTTGTGGTTACAGGAGGAAGTGAAGTTTGTCTTCCTATACCTCCATCTTGACTGGAAGTCATGACCATGTATTTTTGTACAATACACTGGCATTTAATACAGTGCCCTGATAAGTGTTCACTTAGAAGAAAACTTCGGAGTTCAGGAAGTGATGGGTGTATTGCCTTCACGTACCTGTTTACCAGAATGGAAGCCATTAGTGGGAAAGCTTGTTAGAACTGAACTGCGATGGCAAGCAGAGACCTAGATCGGGGTGTTTACCCCCAAACCCTGTTGTTCAGAAATTTGAAAACTTTGAAATAAACTTGAAATAAAACAGAAATGCAGTGTAATTACCTTCTATACTTAGTCTTTTCCTAAATTTTATGAACTTACAGTAAATAAGCTGTATGTCCACAGGATGCAAGGCTAGCTACCACTGAAATCTCCAAATGCCTTTTCTTTGCAATTGCTGCTTTGTGCAGTTTCTGTCATCCTCATAATGTATTGCTGAGTTTTATTTTGTATCACAGCTAGGGTTCACAACTTACGATTGTAGAAGAGTTTCTTTATACTGCACATGCTTCTCACATTCTTTAGAGGACAAAAAACAAGTTGGGGACATATTCTGGAAGGTGTTTGCCTATTGCATTCTTTACAGAAAGAATGCTAACATAATTCTAACAATTTTTTTTTTAATTGTTAGAGTCCAACACTGAACCAAGTATCTTTTGCTTTGGTAAAATAACAGACTTACTTTCCAAAGGAGGCTATCTGATTACTGAACATCATCAAAGTTATTTAAGGGAAAACAATTTCTATAAAAGGCTGGTTATTTTTAAGTGTTAGAGGTGATTTTCTTTTCTACATTTCCCCAGTATAGTTTCTTGTTGAACAAACTGGCTGAAAACTAAGATGCCAATAATTTACCAAAGTGAAGTACTTACAAATAAGCCAAAGCCAAACAACAGTGTCCCCATAAACACACAAGCACAGACAGACCTCGACACTCCAAACCCAGGACCACCCACAGAAAGCGCATGCACGGACACCCTCCCTCGGGACTGTGCAGGAGCAGCACTCACCTGTCCGCTGCCCGTCCTCAGGAACAACCAGTAGCTTCCCAAGGAGATTTGACTTCTCTGTGGCCAGATTTAAGCAGATACCTTTACTGCAACTGTATCAAAATCATGATGTTGTAGGTAACAAGTTCTGCTAGTAGTTACACGAGCAGCTTCACAGTAAAGGTCATCCAACAACGAGAATTATGTCCATAAATAACACTTTTTCCTTCCCACCCAGTTTATTTTTAACCTCTAGTTTAAATGTATACCTTTAGAGGACTTAAAACTCTACCCATAGCCTTGCTAGTAAGAACAGCAACCAGACAGTAACCTGCAGCAGCAGAGGGGACAGGAAGGCTTAGATTCCAGCCGGCATCTCATTGCAGTGCAGCACAGCTCAGTGCTCCCTCATTCCCGCGACTCTGACACCAAAATAGGAAATACGTGGGCACGCTGACAATGCACACTTTTAACCAAAAATTAATACAAATGTGCGAGAACAAACTTTCATATTAACAGTGATCACTGTGTTGCCAAAACGTTTGAAAGTTAAGAGTCCTAAAGATACCTTATTGCCAGTAAAAAGATACACCACAATTTCTGGAACAGATAAAGTTATAGAATGCTTTTCTTTGTGCTTTCTTCCCTATTTCAGGCAAAAAGACTAAATTTGACCCTTGAATATTTTGACATTTCTAGAAGCTGTCACCCTTGTTTTAAAATTATTACTAAATTAAATTATATATGCATTTGATGGTATTACTGTAAAAATAGGCTTTTCACTCCTTTTTTTAGAGTAACAAGACCATCCTGGATTAAGCAAAGCGGGTAGCTGTCGTCAGTATCTTCTCCACCTGTTCGTGGTGTCATTTAATGCAAAACACATTCTATTAATAGTCTTTATTCCATGTGGAAAAGTACAGTAGTTGTGCAAAAACAAAACTACATAACAAAAGAGTTAAGACTCACAAATATTAAGGAAAACAATACACAATAAATAAGCCATAGTAGTTATAGCAGAACTCAAGAAAAGCCGATTAAAAAATGACAAAGCTGTACAAAACACATCAAGAACAAATGTCGAAGAATAACACCAGAAGGTTCTACTCGTACAAAACTATAGTGATGCTCACAGGAACTTCATTACAACGATTCATTTTTAAAACATTCTGTAAATATAGAACTCCTTTCTCCCCAGTTCTAGAAAATAAATTTCACATCCCAACATATAAAACAAATACATTCCCTCCTCTCTCAAACTAGCATTTTAACATCCTTCAATAGCACACCATTGTCATAGAAAAATACCTTTAAGCCAAGGTTCATTCCTGTACCTTATCTTTACAAATGAATAATCAGTTTGGACTTAAGTAGCACCTCAAAGGTGTTCATATAAATGAAATAAAGTGCCGTTACTGGTACACTGTTAACATGCCATAATATATTCAGTGCAATAACCAGTATGGATGAAGTTTACAAAGAACATGCAAATATGATTTTTTTTAAAGATTAAGTACTTGAAATAGTTATATTTACAAGTCTGAATACAACTTGGCTATGTAATATGTACAACATGTGACTATAAAGTAGTGATTGTGTAATAAAACAAAACAACCCATGAACCAGACCGTAAGTATCCAAATTAAACTCCATCCTTAAAGGACCGCAGAAGGCTTGTTCCAGGACTGCTGTCACTGGTAAAAGCAATTTGTGAACCCGCTGAGAGCTCATTTACATGTCCCCACGAACACTGTATTCTCGGTAGTAGAGCCCAAAGCCAGCTTGATCGCCGGTCATGGTTCCAAATGGCCTACGCTGCTTCCAAATACTGAGACGCATTGTGGGAGGGAAGGAATGTAGTTCCCAAAACGTGCTATAAAAATGTTTAATGAGAAACGTAACATGGAAATAAGTGCTTAATCCTCTTCGAGGAATTGCTATGAAGGAAACAATACTTGGATATTCTTGTATTTTGCTTTAAAAAGTCAGCAGTGTAACATTTATAGTCACATATTCAGCTAGAAATCACATTGGTCTTAATTTTATCTATATCTGCAAATTGGGATTTGACTCGGTGGAACTCCAACTTGAAATTCCATCTTTTCTGGGCTGTTCTCATCTGGTTATTTAGCCATGAGCTGATCCTAGTCTCTAAGAAATATTATGATTTTACCACATAGCAAAGGCTAGGAGAAAAGTGATAAAAACCAAATAATTTCATAAGAGACAAGCATTAGTTAATGTCTTCTTGGCTATCTTAAATTTTTAACTTAATAGACATAACTACTTGTACTTTTCAATTCTGGTTAGCATTCTTACTTATGGTGACTTCTGATATTTATCAAAGAAATTTTATCCCACATTTTAAATAAAGCAATGGTATCTGACCTACCTTCAAGGAAAAAGAATATGGCTGAAAAGTAATTTTTCTTATAAAAAACATTTAATTACCACCAAGAGCCAATACACTTTCAAATTCCACCAGCGGGTCTCTCTCCGCCTACACATTGGACTCTATGAAGGAGCGCTTTGGTTTTGCCGCAGGAAGGTGACTCCGGTGGCCCTCGTTACTGACGTGAGGTTGCTGCTTAGAGACGCTGTCCTGGTACAGGTGAGAAACAGCCTTGGCTATCCTGTTATCCGGGCAGCGGGCTGGAACTTGGCACTTACTTCCTTCTAGCTCTTTCACCTGCGCCCCATTGTGGACGGTTCCACCCAGGGTCGCCACAGAACAGGCTTTGCCTTGGCTGCCATACCCCGCTGCTTGTTTGAGAGCGGGCTTCTCCGAGTTCGAGGCCTGCGGGCCGGCTGCAGAGGACGTGCCTGTCAGCGGCGCCTCTGGCCCCGGGCAGTGCCAGGTGCGGCCGGGAGGGTTGCTCTGCTGCTGGAACCGCGCGGTCTTGTCCATGATGCCCATGAATGGAGTGTTGCGCGGTCTGTGTTCAGCTGTGCCGCTCTGCGCCTGGTGGACAGCCTTGTCTTTCATTCGGGCATCTGGCCCCTGGCCCTTGAAGCCATCAGAAAAACTGCTCGAAGCCAAACTGCTGGTGGAACTTGACATCTTTACGCTGCCAGACTGAGAACCAGAAGAACCTGAGCCGGGGAGGCAGGCTGGGTGCCGCGTGTCGCTGCAGCCCACTGGCCCACCTTGGTTTAGCGGGGCTGCGTCCACGGCCACGGAGGCGTGAGCCAGAAGCCGCTCTGCGGTTTTTATCTTGCTTGGTAAAGGGTACACATTGCCGCCCTCACCGTGCTGCAGCTGGATGCCGTGGCTGGGGCCCAGCCGGTCTCCAAACCGGCCCGAACCCCCCCCAGTGAACACACCTGCTCCCTCTGAAGGCTGGTTCCTGATGCCAGCAGGAGCTGCTGACATTCTCCCTGGCATGGGACTCGGGGGAGGATTTGGGGAAGACACCTGGATTTTTGTGCTACCGTTTCTCACGCCAGCCTGTGCGGAGCCGAGGTGCTGGCTGGTCTTCACTATCTGCGCCTGCTTGGTGGGCTGCATCAGCAACCCTGGCTGCACTGCAGGCTCCCGCAGGGGCTTGGTGCCTGCCGGCCTGTTCTGGGGTGAGGCTGGCCTTATTTTGGACTGCAACCCTTCCTGAAGGTTCCGGATATATGGGGAAGGGACAGATGAGGATGGCTGGGACCTGGGAGACAGGGAAATGGATTCTTCCTGCGGAGAAGTTTCTTCTTCTTCAGCCTCCTCAAGAGGAAAGTGGTCATTTAGTCCAGCAGTCGGGGCTTCTGCTTCGTTATCTGAGTCATTGGGTGGGGCCGCAGGTGGGCACTGCTGTTTTTGCTGTTGGCTCCTCTGCAGTTGCTTGCATTCCTCTTCCACGCGGGCCAGCAGCCTCTTGATTTCCTGGTTGGTGGGGGAGAGCTTCACAGCTTCTCGCAAGTCAGCCAGAGCTGCCGCAAACTGCCTTTATAGAGAAAGAGAAGATACAATCACAAGCCATGTGAACACATGCTCCGAATGTAACTTCACAAAATGGCTTTGCTAAAAAACAAAGAGAAAGTAGGTGAGTGAGGTTTGAACACTTAACTGTGGGGGACAGGGCGCATTTAACTAGCTTACAGATGCTCAGTGAGTGGGGTGGCTGAATTCTAGCCCCAGCCAGTGGACTCCAGGGCCCTTCTCTCTCTCTAAGGACCCCTGGGCTGGGGTTGAGAACAAGCACGAATCAGCGGGTATGAGAATTCTCTTAAAGCTACCTTCACCCTGCCCCCCTCACCATGCCCACCTCTAATTCTAAAGTCTCATATGCCCCTCCCCACTTCCCCCACACCTCCACTTAATGTCTCTGGTTGGCAGTCCCACTGACAGTATGGACCAATCTAGGAACCGTATGTGGCAGTAAGTGTCAGCTGGGGTGGAGAGGAGGAACAGTCATTCAGATGTCAGGAGAAAATCAAAGTCGAGCCACTGCTAACAACAGCCACAACTGTGCCTCCTGGAAGCAACCAATTTAGTATTAAGAAGAGCTGAGAGGCATCTGAGCACTGCCCGAGTCCGAAGCCCCACAGGCACCAGCAGCTTCGGTACCACAGAAGCACGTGGCGTCTCTCACCACGCATCTCGCCGCACCCAGACGGTACCTGCTGCTTCTCTTCGCTCTTGCCCTGGCATAAAAGGCTTCGTAGGACTTTGGTTTCAGTTCAAGAGCCTTGGACGCAAATTCTTCTGCCATGCCAAAGTCCTGGTGTCAACAGTTAAACACATGAGTCAGAAGGAACAATGAAACAATTACAGGCAACTTTTTAACAGGAGTCTCACTCTGAAGGTTAGTAGAGAATTAGGACGTAACTGGAGAGAGAGGAAGGGCAAGGTAAGTTTGTTTTCTGTTCAGTTTTATGGTTAGGAGATAGTTAAAACTTATTAACATTTTTAAGAGAAGAATCCAGGAGACAAACAACGTAGGTGACTCAGGAGAGAGAGGACAGTGGCAGAAGCAGTGCCGAGGAGGCCGCAGCAGGGGGAACCCAGCACACGACCCGGGGGTCAGCCTCCCAGGGTGCACGATGCTCCGCCCACTCGGACGGGAAGGGGCAGCTGGTATGGCCACAGGACCAGGGAGGTCCACAGATTTGGTGGTAGGAGGATGAAGTTAAAAATTAGAAGAATTACTGAAACAAATCTACTAGTTATTAGTTACGGATTAACTGAGCTACTATTTACTGCAAATTAAACAATTATTGGCACAACTCCTAAGCAAACATAATAAGCCATACCAGGGGTGTCCAACCTTTTGGCGTCTCTGTGCCACACTGGAAGAAGAGTTGTCTTGGGCCACACATCAAATATATCACAACACGTAATCACATACACACACACACAGCCATCATGGGTGCATGTGGCCCGCGGGCCCCGAGCTGCATGCCCCTGCATGCAGACGGTGACATATTTAAGTTGAGCCTGATCATGTCCTTTTCTTTTAAATCTGGCGATGGGCCACTCAGGACAATGCTGGCACCTACAGCCGGGGAGTGGGGTGGGGTGCAGGAGCAGTTTGCACTGAAGCGGAGGAAACCACTACACCCAAGTACGCCCTCACAGCATCTGGAGAGGTGGGTGGGGGTAGCGATCCAACCATGCTCATCCGAGAGAAGCACCAGGTTCACAAATGTGCGCGAGAGTCTGACAGGAGGCCCCAAGATGTGGGCTAAGGAGGAAGAACTGGCCTTCCCCTCTGTGGAAACATCCCATCGCTGAAGGAGGGGAACCAAGGGTGCTCAGCTTACATTTGTTTTTCTCCGGCAGCGAGACAGATTGAGATAGAGGGACACTCTCAGTTCATTGAACGGTCTCATGTCCTCTCCGAATCCTTCTCGGGGAAACTTCCTTAAGGCGTACTGGTACCGCTGGGCTGCCTCTTTCATCTTCCCTTTCTAGGATCCAAAAACCAGACATTTGTCCTTCACCAGATGCTCCAAGGTGAATGTGCTCCTACACCCCAAAGATCCTGGGGTTACTCTGCCCCCACTGCCAAAGCCACGAGAGCACAGTGGAAGGATCCTGAGGAGGAAGGGCCGTAGCCAGAACCAGAACCAGAACCCTGAGCCGCACGGACCCACGGCCTCGCTGACCGCTGACCGCAGTGCGCACCTCCCAGGGTAAGCGAGACGCTGACCTTACTGAGGGGGGGGCAGCTGTAAACTGCCAAATGGTAACTATGGGTCTTAACACATCAGGTTATCTTTTTAAATATTGTTTTGAAAACCTTTTCATGAGTGTTCTCTCATTTTATATCATTTATATCTCATAGTGATCTTTTAATGCCAAGCATAACAGAAGTCAGATGAAAACTGCAGTTCTTAAGGCAAGTAGAGTCTCATGGATAAACCTACAGCTTGCTGCAGAATAATGTTTCCTTTTAAAAGGACCGAAAGCATGGGCTTTAAAAGTCAGAACAGCACCACACGTCCTGTTCGAGGCTTAAGAAATCCACGTAATGTGCTCAGTCACTTCTGAGCGCAGCGGGGATGGAGCCTGTTGAAAATGGCTCGGTGTTCTGAACCTAATTGCTACCGAAACTCACATTAAAACCACTTCAAAGCCACCATAATACACACTCTGAACTCAATTTCAAACTGATCCCAAGCCAGGAACCTTGCTGGGTCATGTTATATGCCTGTTTCTTTATTTATTATTTCAAAAAGAAAAGGGGAAACATAGCAAGTGCAGCAGCCTCATGGTAAAAAGGATTAAAATGCTCATAATCTAGGGTTTTGTTTTTAGAATCTTTTAATTCTGTCTAATCACAGAAAGGAAAGAATTGTGATCTTTGTAAACGGCCTAAGCACCTGTTTCAACCTGGGGTTGGCGAAACACAGCCTGCAGCCCAACGCGGCCTGCCCGCAGTCCGCACAGACGCAGCCGGCCTGGCGCGCGGCCGCCGGGAATGGCAGAGACCATGGAGCAGAGCCCCGGGCGTTTACCATCGGGCCCTTTCTAGTCCAAGTTTGCTTTTGCTTGAAACTGATGTCTTATTTTAGAAAACTTACTTTATTTAAAGTCAAATTTATTCATGTGTAGATCTATTATTTCCATTTCTAAGGGAAAATGGAAAAAATTTAATTCAGTCTCCTGAGTAACTATTATACATCACTTACTGCCTTAAGTAAAAACATCTGTAGAAACAGTTTCAAATTCTAAAAGCTTATAAATACTAAAATAAGATAATCAAGGCTTGGGAGACTTAATGATTCTTTTCCTCTGAAAACGTCTCCGGAACGTTCCTTTCCGGGCGCCTCGCTCCCCCTGCGCTGACGAATCCCCCGCGTGCTCTGTTAAACCAGAAGCAGCTTCCGTCAGCTACAGCCACGGGGATTTGCTCAGAAATAACGGTTCTCAGAGACAACGAGAAGTGCCTGCTGCCTCGAGGACTCTGCTGTCAGGATGTTAAAGCCTGGGCGGGAGGCCGGGCAGGCATCTCTCGGAGCTGCTATTAAAGCCGCACCGTGCGAGTCCGTGCAGGGGCACAGCTACGTCCTTTACACGCCGGACTCAGAGGCCGCTCGCAGGCCATTACCACACCACAGAGAGGGGCAAAGCCACTTACTTTGTACATCATGTTTCCTTCCTCCATCAGTTTCTGTAAAAGTATAATCAAAATATCAGGTTTGGAAGTAGCCATCGCCCAGGCAGCATTTCCTGCAAAACAAACGTGCAGTCAGAGGGATCCGGCGGCCATAGGGACATGGTGCCCAACACTTCTGTGGCCCCGCCACAGCTGGGATCACACGCAAGGGGGGCCCAGCTGCAGAGGACCCCGCCGGGTGTCCTGCCGACCTCCGACCTCCGACAGCAACACACCCGGGGCACGGGAGCAGGGCCCCGGGGAACGGGCTTCTCTTCTAGTCTGTGTGAAGCTGAACTGAGCATTCGGAGGGGAACAGATGGGCATCTGGGGTCCACGGAGCGAGGCTTCAGCACAGGCTCCTTGGTGTCCTGCCCTGTTCGGCGGGAAGGGGGTCTTACCCTGCACTCCACGGCACAGTCTACCACTCCATCGACTCTGAAATGCCTCGGCTTTAGCTCTGCTGCCCTCCTCCCACTACGCCCGCCCTCTGCCCTCCCTGCCCCTGTCTACATCCAACTTTGCCCAGCCCACCGCTTGACCACGGCTTTCTCCATCCCCCTTCTAAACACGTGCAGCGCGCGAGGCTCGGCGGCACAGACTCGGAGGTCCGAATGCTCAGGTCCAAACCGGACTCCGCCCCTGACCGACCTAAGGGAAGCTATGTGCCTCCTCTGTGCCCCTGTTTCCTTCCCTGTAGCAGGATGTGGTTATTACCTCCTGCTATAGGGTAGGTGAGGATTAAATAAGCTAAATCCTGCCACTGCCTAGAAAAGTTCCTGATGCTGTGAACTGCTTAATAATATCAGCTCCTACTATAATTATCCTCATCACAGCCCCTCTCCAGAGAGCTGCTGTTGGCCGAAGTTCTGCCCTCTCAAACCCAAACCGTGATGCCCCGCTTGTTCCCCCACAGGTTCTGAAGGGTGTGTCATGTCCCAACCAGCCCCACAGACGGGCTTTCCCCACTCAGATCTCTCCACCCCGGACGTCGTGTTTAACGAGCCCTCTCTTGTCCCTGGTAAGTCACACAAGCTTTCCCAGTGCTGGGGGTGCCGTTGCCCCACCCAACTGGCCGTGCTTACTCCAGAGCAGCGGCTCACAGACTCGGCTGTCACCGGGGCATCTGTGAGCCTCCCACTCGCCCCCTGTACCCCTGGAGTCCATGGGAACTGCCCCGGCGTGGCTCCTGGGCACCCTGAACCCCCCACAACCCTGGACTGCCCCTCAGCACTGGCCTCTGCCCTGTCCCCACACTGGCGACAGCAGCAGGAGCTGTTCCAACATTTTCGGTGACTGCGGTTAAATGAGTGTCACGGGAGAAAGAAATCTCCAAACATCTGCCTTTTTCACCTGGGAACAGGCATCTACGTACAGCCCCTAACACGCTCTAAAACCCGAAGCTGACCCCTCCCTACCAAACTTCGTGTTTACCGACCTAACTTGGCTCCTTTCCTCAGCAGCGCAATCACTACAGACGTGTTCCGACAACCGATGGCTCTGTCCAGGGGACGCATCCCGCTGTGGTCCACGTGCTCAATCACGGCGCCCTTCTCAACCAGGTACAGCACCTGCAGTGGGAAGAGAGGTGTGAGGAGTGGCTCCGGGCAGGAGGTCCACTGCTGGTCCACCCACAGCGCCCTGGTGTGGGAGCTTTCCTTGATCTTCAGTGCCTCCGGCCATTAGGATCCTGGAATGGAAATGAAGCTGATGGAGGGCAGAGCAGAGAAGCTGCAACCCACACCCCAAACCTACTCTGGTAAAGGGCATTCGATATCCACAGGGAGGCTCCCGGGAAGGGAGGTGTTGTGTGCACGCACTCATACGTCGGGTAACATCACGTGAAGTGCATGCACACGTCATCATCCGTCTCATCCCACCTCCCCGGTCACAGAGATGAGACACGGACACCTTTTCCTCTCCAGTCACTCGGGAGGCACGCTGGTCACCGGCTCCCGCAGGAGGTGATAGCGACAGGTGGGGCAGAAACACTCAGGCCCACACGGTCTGGGACCAGCAAGCTGGGCACATGAGCAGTTTGGGATCCGATAGGGCCGATTATAACTCGCTTCAAGGCAAAAGACGAGACCTGACTACAGGGACTGGGAAGATGGAGACCCTGGTCCAACAACCGACGCGACCTGATAAAACAGCCGTCACAGAGAACAACAGGGGAAACCACTCTGGCCACTCAAACGGCTCCACTTGCTGGATTGTGGCCGCCTCGGATTTTCACATGGATCTGACAGTGGACCCTGCCGGTCCACCGCTGTTCTCTGTGATGCTACTGGAACAGGCACGCAGATGGCATTAAAAACACCCACATGTTTACGGCAAAATCCCAAAGAATCCAATGTAAAAATGGGCAAAGGATCTAATAGACATCTTTTGCCAAACACATGTACAGATGGCCAATAAGCATGTGAAAAGATGCTCAACATCACCAACCATTAGGAAAACACAAATCAAAGCCACCACGATCTGTCGTCTGACAATGTTCGCATGGCTGTTACTGAAAAAGCAATCAACCAGACAGACACCAGTGTGCTGGTGAGGATGCGGAGAAGCAGGGACCTTGTGCTCTGCTGGTGGGAATGGAAAATGGTGCAGCCGCCCTGGACACAGTACAGAGGACCTTCCAAAAACTGAAAACAGAACTACCCGGTGATCCAGCAGTTCTACTCCCGGGTCTATATCCAGAAGAATATGGGGAGATCGCAAAGAACTGGCAGGGTCTCAGTGTGGTACTGGCACACCCACTTGTGTTCATAATGGCGCTACTCACAGCAGCCCGGAGGCGGGGAACGTCAGCGCCCACAGATGGATGGGTGGGAAGAGGCGATGTGGCAACTATATACAATGGACCACTTACTCGGCCTTTACAAGGAAGGAAGTCCCATCACACGCTACAGCCTGCGTAAACCTTGAGGACATCACGCTAAATGAAATGAGCCAGACACAAAAGGACCAGTGCAGTGTGAGCCCACTTACCGAGCTGCCGAGAGCAGATGCACTCAGACACAGGAGGTAGAACGGGGGTGTCAGGGGCACGGGAAGGGGGGATGGGGCAGAGCTGTGTGATGGGTGAGGAGTTTCCGTTTTACAAGATGAGGACATCTAGACTTCAGTGCTGAACTCCTCACTGCAAAATGGCTCGGATGGCACATTTTATGTTGTGTTATTTATCACAATTTTAAAACAGGTACTAGGATGCTAACTTCCTTTACTTTTTCCTAATAGGCTACAGGATTTGGTAAGGTAGTATAAGCTGAGAAATAAACGCGTAGATCTGTGAGCCTCGGTTAAAGAGCTGTTTCTGAAACCCGATGGTAAGCGCCGTCTACAATGATCGGGAGATGGAGACGCGTTTAACCCCAGCATCACAGCCTCTTTAAAGCGTCGAGGCCCAGATGTGCAGGATGACGACGGCCTGGTCCACAGTTTCTAGCAACATAACACCATCTCTCCGGGTGGCCCCAACATCAGGCATAGTAAATATTCAACAGTGATCACTCCAGAGGGGCTGAATAGCCCTCTGGGGCCCGATGGGTACCAGAGACGTGGTTCCTGACCAAGACGCAGCCCTGCCGCCCTGACAAACCCTTTGCAGTTCTGAGTTCAGTGAGGGTTTACCCTCACCCCTCAGCCGACTCCGGCATCGGTCAGAGAGACAAAGACAGTGCCGCAGCATCTCAGATGTTGCCGTACAGCTTTAAAGACAAAGCAGCTGATTACGTGATTAGCAATTTCTCATGTACACACACACATGCATATGTATGATTTCTAAATGATCTATAAAGGAATTCCACTTACGTGGATTATTGTAAGAAAACTAAAGTACACATGCTTGTGTGTGTGCACGCACGTCATACACGCGGTTCATAATCATGTGTTTTTAAACTTTTAAGAGTCTATGAAAATCTCTACTATAATTCTGGAATAGATTGCATGGCATAGAATTAAAGAGAAACAAAAATACCCTGCAACACACACACACACACACCCTGACCACACTCAGACACAGACTCACACACGTGCTGGGGTGTTCGGGTCTTGGGTGGGGTCCTGGGTTTCCTGGGTCAGGCCCTGGCCCTGTGCACAGGGCAGGCAGAGGGGCGAGACCACCCGCAGCACCTACCATCTCTGCGTCCCCGTAGAAGGCTGCCAGGTCCAGGGGGGTACGGCCGTTCTTATCCATCTGGTCTATCTCGGCTCCTTCCTCAACCAGAAAGTGGACCACTGCCCTGTGACCTTTCAGACAAGCCCAGCTCAATGCAGACAAACCCTCTTTGTCCAGAGAAGAAATGATGGCACCTGAAAGAGAAGCCCAACCAGAGAACATTAACTCGGGCAGACAAAGCCCAGATGCAGCAAAGCGTTACCCAGGGCGAACACCTGGCCCAGGCACGTGGCCAGCAGGTGCCATGGACTTTGAAGCTGACTCGGCACCTGGGCATCGCTGCGGACGCTGAGAAATGGGTACGTGGGCTTCGTTACCCAATCTCTCCACTTGTGTGTCAGTCAGAAAATCTCTGTAACGAAATGCCTTTTAAAATCGGAACCGGAAAGTGCTGAGTCTGCTAAAGCTCTTTGTCCATCCAAAAGCAACCCGATTCGGAGTGGACGGGCGCTCACTACCTTTTGAAAGGAGAAACTCCACGGTGCTCAAGTGCCCTTCGCACGCAGCCACCATGAGGGGCGTCCGGCCCTGCTTGTCACTGAGGTTCACATCACAGCCGCGTTCCAACAGCAACCGCACAATCTGAAACAAACACTGCGAATTACAATCTTCCTGCTACATTTTATATTGTGTTTGCCACCCCCAGGCAGGTCTTCCTACCTTTAAAAGTAGTAGAAAGACTCTTCTTCTGAAAACCCCACTAAGTTGTATAACTGGGTGGCCTATAAACATTTTCTGTTGTGTTCTTTTGAACACAACCTTCTTCCAGAAGTGCACTTTTAAAAACATGCCTGCACCAGGCAGACACAGGAATTTGGGCGCCACAACCAAGCAGTGACCAGACAACTGAGCAGGGCGTGTGGGATCACTGAGCAGAACTAAAAGGAGGCGGGTAACAGTCACAGGTCCCCAGGCCGGCACTGCAGTGACAGTCCTGTCTGTAGGAAAGGGCACAGAGCCGGGGAAGTGGGGCGCAGGAACGTATTCGCCCGCCACACCCCAAGTAATCTGCACTTCCAGGACCCAGAGCTCAGTGGGCAGCTCCATGTCCACAGAGGGCGATTTTTAGCAGAGCTTCCCGGAGGAGAGCCTCGGCTCGGGACCGTGCCTCTGAGCAGTGCCCGTGATGAGGCCGGGGGTGCAAGCAGGAACCTGCAGAGGACCGGTGCCTCCCACGCACCAGCCCAGTGGGGAGGGCTGTGTACAGGGCGGCCCAGACTCTCTCTGGCTTGACGTCCTAAGGCTCCCCAGAGAAGGGGGTGCATTCCCAATGAACCTTCCCAAACTGCCCCCTGCCTTGGGAAAGAGACCGGGCAAGGGGACTGACCAGGGCACCATGTAGACGCTGTAGGGTGCAGAGAACGTGGGCTGCACACCAAACGCCGGGAACGAAAGGGAGAAAAGCACTCATGGCTCCCACCCACAGAGCTGACAGGAATCGGGACAGACGCGACGCCACGATGTGAGCTTGGGTCTAAAAACTCTTCCTGTAATGAACATGCTAAGATCCATTTATGTGCTTGTTGCTTGTGTGTAACCTGGTGCCAGGCACAGAGCAGGTTCACAGCCACTGCCTACAAGATGAAGGAATGAAAGGACGAACCGCTGCTGTCAAGGATCCCAGGTTCCCTTGAGTGAAAGACAACGTGCCATTCACAGGAGAAGAAATGAACCCCGGTGCCGGACCACAGGGGAGACGGGGCCTTTTCCAGAGAGCACAGGAGAACCACCCTTCTCTCAAGGGCAGTGGGCCAGTGGGCCACACAGTCAGACCAACAACAGAAATGTCACAGCAAGTCTTCTGCTGTCGTGATGGGGACCACCCGCCCCACTTCCCTCCCCAGGGAACAGGAAGCCGTGGGGGTGGCTCTGACCTGGCCTGCCTGGCTCACGGCGCCACCCCACCCAAGGCACACCTTCACCCACACTCCGCACGGCACAAGCAGAAGTAAGGCCGCTGAAAACGGGGCTCAGGGGAGCCACGTGTGGGCCCCAGGGAGAGTGGACCCTGTCCCCACTCACTGTTTCTGAAGCACTCAGGGGCCCACTGCGTACCTGCCAGTGCCCTTGGCGCGCCGCGCAGAACAGAGGTGGGACCCCTCTCCTGTTGGTCCGGGACACGGTGGCCCCGCACTCCAGCAGCAGCTCGCACACCTCCAGCTTCCCTCGTCCCGCAGCGGCAGTCAGGGCTGAAGCAAGTCACAGGGAGGGCAGTCGGTTAGGATGTGCTGGCCCCAAATTCTTCAATACTCCTGCCATTGAGAGGGCGGGCTCCACCTATCAGTGGCCCCCCACCCCCAAATCTGGGTGAGCTCTGTCCCCAAGAGAACAGCAGAAGGGTCGCCAGGCCGCTGTCTGGGCCCAGGTCCTAGGAGATGAGCAACTTCCGCTTCCCTGGAACACTCATTCTGGGACTCAGACACCCTGCGGTGAGGAAGGAAGCCAGGGCGGCCCTGTACTGTAGTGAGACCCTCGGCCGTGGCTGTGGGCGTGGAGATGAGCCTCCATCTCTACCGGGCTCGGGGCAAACCGCAGATTCTGGAGTCACTAAGCTTCTGTCCTATGGTTTAGTTTTTTACAGCAAGAAATACCCAAACCACAGTGCGACACAAACACAGATCAGTATTACTGTCCAGTCTGGCCCCTTACCCCAAAGCCATGAATTCCACTCAATAAGAAGAGTTACTGAGGCAGTAGAGGGCACACCCCATCATTCCTGCCTTTCTGGAGCTTAGACGCTCTGTAACAAGCCAACACTTGAGGTCAGGGATGTCAAGAAAGAGAAATCAGGTTACGGAGGGCCCCGAGTGGCCGGGCAAAGGGCCCGGGGTGACCCCAGGGGCGGTGAGCTGCCCGCGGCCAGCCGTGGTGTGGAGAGGGGTCGGCCAAGGGCGGCCGTGGCACGAATGGTGAGGGGTCATGGAGCACAGGCTCGCCCGACACCCTCACATCCGTGACTCGCTCCCACCCCCCGTGTCATGAGTCTTAATGTGAGCAGCCAAGTACTCAGGACGCAGCTTCCCCGTGCGGCCCCTCTCAGAACAGACAGACTTACCTGCTCCAACTCCCCATCGGTCTGGCCATGGCTGAGCCCCCAGGGGCCGCACATGCACAGAAGGACGCGGACCTGACGCCTGGGCCTGATCGGTGACAGAGAGCAGTTCCTCCGAGGAACAAATAAGTCTCTATAGCCCTTCCTGAGGGTTACAGTGCACCAAGCCGGTGACGTCACCTCGTCACACATCAGAGAGGCACCCACATCTGCCCGACAGATCACCTGAGCTCTGTTTCCATCCAGGGGGCCCTATACTGGGGACCTAAGGACACGGAGGTCAGGCCAAGCAAGATGGGGGAAAGCAGACCCTCTCTTTCCAGGAGGGCAAGTCAGCTCTTGCCCTCGGCCCCTGGAAGCGTGGAATGTGTGACAAGGGTGGCTTGTCATCGGCAATCTTAATAATGCTTTCATCTGCCTATTCTTAAGAATTTCTCACGACCATAAGAAGAGTCACTTTCAACAACAGCTGCCATCTGTGATAACTGATTTTCTCTAGACAGTACAACCGGGACAGAATGCGGATGTGAAGTGTGAGCTACTGCAGATCCTGACGGCGGTGCCATTGCTCTCTGTACAAATAGGCTCACCGTCACCGATTTCACCTCTCAACTTGTAAATAAATGATAAACTAATGCCAGTAACAGACTGGATTTTATATCAGTTTTACATATTGGTGCATGGGGTGGAGGCGGGATGTGCTCACATCCAAAATGTTGGAAATTCCGTGGCCAGAGCGATCCCGTCTGCACTGAGAGTCGGCACTAACGGGTCCTGGTCCCACAGCCCTGGGCTCACCCATCACAGGCCACCCCTGCCATGGGGTTCCTGCGAATGATGTCTAAAGCACTGGGGCACTTTCACACATTATCTGGATGGAGCCGACGTGACCCCTGTGAGTGGCCCCTGGGATGGAAGATCTGGCAGTGGGTCACACCGCCTGGACCTGTTGCTCCTTCACGACCTTCCTCCAGTAAAGCCACCTGTGCCCTCTCCTCCTCCAGCTGTAGCTGAGTAGACAAGCGACAACGCCACATGCTGCAGACAGGGGCACGCCCCGCACACGTTTATGCAGGATACCACGGAAAGCAAGAAACTTGGCTTCCATCTGATGAGGCCTGAAGCCGCTGATGCGCCGTAACGTTCCACTCTCCTTTATTTGGTCAACAGGGTTCATGGGCATTAAGAATGGGCCCTGTAAGTCAGAGTGTCTGCTGCAGCTGCTACTGAATTCCTGCCCCAGCAGCACATCAGAAGTGACAGGCCTACACTAAAAATAGGGCTCAGTGCTTCAAGGAGGCGCCAGAGAAGCAGAGGATGGAGCAGCTGACAATTGGACGAGAGCACCACCCAGGCCTGGAGACAGGGATGGATGCCCTTGGCCTCTTCCTTTGTGGCCTGACTCACTGTGCGTTAGTGATGAACTTCCTTCACCGTCTGCCAGAGCCTCAGATTTCTCAGGCCTGGGACGATCACATTCTGCCCACACGTTCTAACGGCGCCTTCATTTGCAAAGGATGCCGGTGAACAACAGGACCGCGCTTTCCTTCTTCCACCAAGGCCGGGTATTTTTGGCTGCATCCCCCAGGACCCTGAGGCTAGGCTGCATCTCAAGTGTCGGCAGCCGCAAGGACTCAAGGAGACCATATTCGGACACCAGTGAGACTGAAACTAGTCAACTGCAGGCTTAGACAAACAAAATCAAGGCAAGCCTGTGCTCTGGAATTCCAACTATTCTAACTTAAAAGGCTGACCTCTGAGCTGATCACCAGACTCTAATGAAGCTCACTGCACATGGCCTGGTCAGAAAATGGGAGAGGGGACCGGGCCAGAAGACAGTGTGCCCTGCAGTGGGTCTGCCTGTCCAGGCTTGTCTGCTGGCCAATGAAACTCAAAGACGAAGAACATCGAAATGAACACATGGCACTTTTTAGGGCTCAAACTGGACGCAGTTTGTTCTACTTGTGAAATCCTTAACAAGGTGGCACTACGCTAATTCAATGTCCACAAACGCAAACATCTGTCTCCGTTGACTCTGACTTTACCTCAGCAATACTGTCCTCTGTCTTCGGAGCATGAGCTCCTTCGTCACGGCAGATACTCGCTGTAAGAAAACCCAACTCACACGCAAGAACACGAAGCTACGGAGAACATCGGTGAGATGTGACTCTGTGAGATGGGTCGTCTGCAGGATCTCTGACATTATTCCAGTGCCCTGGGCGAAGACTTACTGAAACACACCTGCCAACACGCCAGGAACACAGGCATGCCACTGACAGGGTTGTTTATGACATGTCATCGCAGACCTGTCACTCAGACACGCAGGGACGACCTGTCAGCCCCGACCCCGTACTCCTCTGTCCCCAGTTTGGAGACACAGAGAGAAGGGTGACAGGTCAGTATCCACAGAGGCTGCTCCTGGAGTCCTGGTGGCAACCTTGTCACACATCACACACTGATGACCACGGACAAGGACGAGCCAAGCGCGTTCCTGAAACAACGTGCACTGTGGCAGGGCCATCCCCGCGGGCGAGATGCCGAGGGCTGGACGCAGGCACCGTGGCTCAGCTCTGCTCGCACTGTTTTTGTCCGTGCAATTTATTTACTAATATATTGGCTTTCCCCGTCACTTATGAAAATGAGTGGAAAAACAACAACAAAAAATGAAACTGCCCAAGTAGTAGTAAACAGTGGGTTCTCATAAATGTCATCTAGGTGCCAAGATCGAAACCATTAAATGTGACAAAGGCAGTGACGTTTGAGCCTCAGGTGAAGGCTCACGGAACAAACCCCACTCAACTGTAAAGGACAAGAACCAAAGTAAAAAGTTTGGTCATGACATGCTAAGGTGCTCAGCCACTTTCTCCAAGAGCTAAAATATAATCAGGGACCTGGCTGGTGTCGACCTGCAAACCAAAATGTTGCCAGTTCGACTTCTAATCGGGGAACATGTCTGGGTTGTAGACCGGGCCCCCGGTCGAGTTGGGGGTGTGTGTGTAAGAGGCAACCGAACGGTATTTCCCTTGCATGTCGATGTTTCTCTCCCTTTCTCCCTTCTTTCCCCCCTCTCTAAAAATAAAATCTTTTAAAAATAAAAGTGTCCTTAGAGAGTTCATGACTTCCTTAAGCCTTGCTTTCTTAGGCATTTCCTTCTACCACTGAGGGAGGGAGGCTTCTGTTAGAGAGAGGAGCAAACTTCCCAATAGCTGTAAATCCCCTTTGTCCACAAAGAGTGGGCAGCTGTTTGATCTGATGCTCAACAATGGGCAGCACACAGCGAAACACAGCGAAGACGCTCTCACTGAAAAATGTCAAGGTGCTGGGAGATGAACCGCTGAGCAGCCTCCGCACCCCAGCCTTGCTGGGGCCCCTGCTGCCAGGCACAGCCGCGCCGGACCTCATGGGCTGGAAGCCAGCACTGCCCACGTGCTCTCTGAACCTCCCAGGCCTGCCTTGGAGCACCTTCCTCATTGTCCTGACCCTTCCTGGTTGCTCTCCATTGGGTAGAAATGTCCCAGAGGAGCCTGCAGTGGCAGGTGAAGGCCACCGGCTAAGGTCAAGGAGAGGGAATCTGTGTTACAAAGCAACAGGCAGCCACCAAGCAGAAGGTGCACAATGTTGCTGCCCCCCCCCATCAGCCCACTTCCCACTGCACTACCTAGAAAACAAAGCAGAGATCAAATCTGAGAGATAGGGACACTTCTGGTGACTTACAAGTTCTAATGTAAAAACACGCTGTCAGTCTCTGTGCATAGATTAAGGATGAGCCTCAAATTACCAAGAAATTCTTTAAGGAAATAAAATGTGCGAATGCCATTAAACAGGACTTCACATGTGACCAAAATGCTTCTCTGTTCTTCCTACCTGTAAAGTAATTGCAAAGTAGCTATGAGTCTATCACTCAAGACCAAATGCATCATATAAATTAATAACATATTACAGCCCTGGCTGGTGTGCTCAGTGGATTGAGTGCTGGTCTGTGTGAACCAAAGGGTTGCCAGTTCAATTCCCAGTCAGGGCACAAGCCTGGGTTGCAGGCCAGGTCCCCAGTAGGGGGCGCATAAGAGGCAACCACACATTGATGTTTCTCTCCCCCTCTTTCTCCCTCCTTTCCCCTCTCTAAAAATAATAAAATCT